CAATTCAACAGCAAGCGAGCAATTCTACATAAACTTTTGGCAGATTGCTCCTTTGTAGCTTCAGAATATGTATTAATACTTCACCTTTGACATAAAGATGTCCTGGACTGGCCGTGCAATATATTGACAACATAATAATAGTAATTAATTCTCACAAAAACAATCAATTAGAAATTAGAATCAATTTAAAGTGAGGACTACTCAACATATCACTAAATTAGAATGTGTATTGATCATAATGCTTAGAAACCAAGATTCATTTGGTTATTATCTTGAATTGTGATGCATTTAAACTTTGCATATTGATAAGATATTCAGTCTGTTGAATGGTGTCTAAACTGATGCCCACATCACATAATGATGAAATGTTGAAAGTAAAAATATCTTTATCTAATGTCATGCATACCTGCTCTAGAGTATTTACTGTTCTTGGTGTAATCAAAGGTAAATGGATATTGTTTATGGAGAACAGATTGCTCTCCTCACACTGTATTAATGTTATCAGAGCAAACGAAATAGAATAACTTTCATATCTTTTACATTTTCCCAGTTTTTCTCAAACATGTAGTTATTACCTGTTTACAGTAAAATATATTGAAGCTTTAATAGTCAGTAAGGTATGTCAGATTTTATCATTGACATTGACTGATGTGACTGTCTGACTGGCATTTTGATCATTTATTTTGTGCATTTTCTTTGATGCACCTTGTATGTAATATACAATAAGCATATTTTTTGAGAAATACAATAAAAACGTTTACAGCGGTTAAGTAATTAGAAATTTCTTGATTTTAATAGCTCCTTGCTTTTCATGCAGGGAAAATGTAAATACTATAAATGCGTCTTTCTCAGTACCCGTTTCACACAGGAAGTTCTTTGGTGGGACACTGCCTCCTACCTCCAGCTCCTGTGTAAATGATCATTGATTTTCAAGTTCATAACGGAACATATGCAAATATGATAGTAGTTTAAATATTTAAAAAATGGCATTTGCAGAAATTTCTATGACGTTTTTGAAACTTAAAGAGTTTTAAAATAGTAGAAGTCTGCTTTGACCTTAAGCCTCTATCTGCATAGCTGCTGGCTATATCCTCCATGGCCAACTAATCAGGATGTACACTTAATAAAGACACTAAGATGCTTATAAGATATATTATTAGTTGCTCTTAGCATAACAAAAATCTCGCTTTGGAAATCCTCAAATATCCCTTTGAGGACATTTTCGGATATTTTCTGTGCAGCACTTTACAATGAGAGAGATTATTCTTTAAAAGTCATTTAAGACAGTCAGAGGCTCCCCAGGAGAGTACATCCCACCAAGTTCACCTCAGGGTCAGACCCTTTAGCACTTCAAGACGCTGTGGAAACCCCAAGAGCTCCATCTCGGACTCTGCAGGACTCAGTTAGCATGTCAGATGTTAAAGTTAATGACAGCAGACTGCCAGAATAAAGCCCCTTTTCTTCAAAAAGAGACAGGTTTGTTAGATTTACAGTTGCATCTGCAAAATATACAGGACTCCTGTGACAGTGTCCAGAGATTAAAGTGTGGATGTTGTTGTAGCAGGTAAAGACCTTATTAAAAGAAGAAATCAAGCAATTGATAGTCGACAGCGTTGGAATCTTGCGATCTGTGCTAAAAAGTCCTATTTTATAAATAAAGAACTCAAGGTTAGTCTGGTAGGCAGTTGGTAAAAAAAAATGTTTCATACTATTTAGCTGGGAGCTAATATTAATTCCTATGGCAACTTATCTAAGTACTCTGTGGCCTCCAACATTTTGGACATTCTTCACATAGTCCTGCCACCTTTTGGGATAACAACCACTGATGTTATAGACTTGTCTGTCCTTCAGTCACTTTCTGCTGCTGGTATATTTACCAGCAGCAGCAAACTGAGTGTGGAGACTTCTCTTGTTTACTATGGATGAAATGTACCCAGTCGATCCTTGTGTCGCAGCGCTCTGGTAAACAGCCGGGGCAAGCTGATGCTTGGGTTTTGGTGTCTGACCTGGCTGTGTTTGCTCAGGGAGAGAGCAGGAGGGAGAGGAGTTGTGTAACTACTGTATGAGGAGAACAACATGCTGAACCTCCCTACCCCCACTCTCCGCAGTTTGACGTATTTGGCTCAGATTATAGTGATGGTTTCTTTTCCCACCGTTTGAGTCTGAGGTCCCATCTTTCAGCATTTTTTTTTTTTTTTTTTTAACACAACACTGTCTGAACTTACACATGGTTGAAACTCAAGCCTTCTGATGCATCATGTTTATTCTTGGCCATCTACTTAGAGAACAACCGGGACGCTGACGTCTACCGTTCAGAGGAACCCCTTGTTAGGAAGTCCCACTTCTTTAAAGAGGTGGAAACCTATAATGACCTGCATAGCTATGTGTAGTGAGCAGAAGTGTGGAAATAGGCCTGCATTAGGAGCATCTATAAATAGGAGATTGTATCCTTGATACCATGGGGTTGTTTGGTTGGGCAGCGAAACCCGGTTGACTTATATGGATTTAAGACAGTGATCCCCCCCACCCACTCCTGCTCCGCTCTCCTTTGGCAGAAGACATGCATGTTTGGAATTTTTCCGCATTGAGGAATCTGTTAAAATGATTCTGAGGGAGCAGACATCCTTTAAGGAGAAGGCTCATTATAGTTTGCTTTGGCTGCCCCCTTTTGGTAGATTTCCAAGAAAATGAACCCCATTCTGTCTTTCTTTTTTTTTTTCCTTCAGCGCTTGCAAATGTGCAACACTACTCTTCCTAAGCTGACCGCACTAACGTCAGCATAGTAATTCCAATCAGATCCCAGCTGTTATGCGAGAGCTAGCATGTGTTGATATCTGATGCTGTTGTTTAAAAAAGAAAAGTCTTTGGCTTTTGCAGTGGATCTAATCCATAATAACTGGACAGCTACCAAACTTGTCAAACTAGTCTTTATCTAACTCAACTTTTAAGACCAAAAAAGACAATAACAACAAGTTTACAACTGCCTAAAGAAACTGATTTGGGTTTTTTTGTACCTCAGTATTGTTAAATTTGACAGAACGTAAGGAGAAAAAAAACGTAAAGTGTTTGAGAATGGGAGTGAAGGTGATTGATATCTTTCTAAGCTGTACTGTGAAACGGCAGTACAGCTGGCTCTGCTCCTTGGCGCAGTTGTTCTGCTGGATTGTTGTATTGGATGATACACAATAACGGGCAACATGTCTTGGACTGATTTACAGTCTGAACTAAATTATGATCTGTATGAAATCTTGTAAAACCAAGCAGGTTGGGCATGTATGCATCACATGCACATCATAATTCACCTTATAGAGGGTTGGGAGAAAGTCAACAACATACTTTAGGAAAATGATTTTAAAAAAAGTTTGTTTTGAACATGAACGCAGTTTCTAAGTAACCAGAAAATCTGTTATTTCAATGTAGTTTAGTCTTATTGGCCACATGGAAAATTTGGTTTTGCAGCACAATTAATATCATCATGTTTTTCTGTGTTGCTGCATCCATATGAAAAGAAAACCACACAGTTTGATCTGTGATTAAGACAACAATTAGAGCATGCTAATGTTTGAAGAACTTCTGTTTTCATCCATATGAGAACAGAAGATCTTTTTCATATGGCCATCTACTTAGAGAACAACCAAAGTGATTCCTTCTTCAGAAGGTGTGACTCAACATGGTCTTTGTGTACCAGAAAACACTTTTTGACACCACTTATTTGCTTTTAAAAAAATAAAAAAAAATAAAGAAAAGATCAAGTGTAATTTGTGTACGCTCAATCCTTTCAAGGTTCAGGTTGGACTTTTTTTTTTTTTTTTTTTTTTACAAAAACTAATTGTCAATCACCTGCTTTAGTTTTGCATACCTTCTGTTCTCAGTGATGTTCAGTAAACACTGAGGAACATCTTAATAGTTCTGTTGCTCAAACCTAATTTGAAACAGCCCAAACTTATTTTCTCTAAATCAGGAAAGATGCCATTTTTCTTGCTTTAAAGAAACAGTTTTATTCAAGCCTTTATTGTCCTATAGCTAAATATTTATTCTAATAGGAAAAAAATATTGAATTTTACACATTTTCCCATGCTGATGTCCATGCTTTATTTTGGAGTAATGGTTTCAGAAGCTATCGCAACACTCATGATAATTTTTGACCTTGTTTTTGTTCAAATATGCATCCATTTTTATAAAAAAATGTCTTCATTTTACTTTAATCTTGATGGTTTTCCATGTCATTTGCAACATGTAAGTTCCCACAACTTTAACTGACAAAACCCTTTTTACTTGTTGTGTCCCTAACCTCCAAACAATAAGTTGTAGAGAGAGTCATTATTAAAGGATAAGATTGTCCTCATATCAAAAAAATGCATGTACAAGCAGATTTACAGATGTGACAGTGAAGCGGTTCCAGTTAGGCATGTTTTTGATTATTCTTCCTTCTTCATGTTTGTAAAGGGAATGAGCCAAACATCAGAATTGCTCTCATTATAATAGTGGCAGCACTGTGGCAATACAAGCTCGGGATTTTGTCAATAAACTACGTCAACGTTTCATTTGATTTTTCTTTTTTACATTTTGTAACTTTTAATGATGTACGTTAAGTAATATTGAAAAGAAATTAAGCAAATTAAAGTGTGATCTTATGCTAATATGGGACCATTCAGCATTGAAATAATATGAAATGGTGAGCTTATCAAAATATATTTGAAAATTAGGTTAAAAAGTGAGAAAAGTGGTTGAAGAAATGTCACATCACTGACACTTGTCTGTGTAGCTGATTTGTTGTTCTTACAATGGTACATCTCTTTTTTCTCAAACATATATGTCATTTAGAGTACAGTGACATAAAACAAGCTTAGAAGATATTCAAAGCAGTATAAAAATATTTACTTAGGCTATTGCCACAGATTGTCTGACATTGTCTATTTGTTGTTTAATTGTGCCAACTTTTTTTTTTTGGTTTCATCTAATACTAACTTCCTTCTCATGTATGTCTATGTCCACCACAGTGTGTCCTCAGCAGTGTAAGTTGGCTTGTATGGACAATGGGGAGTGTTGCCACAGTCAGTGCTTGGGAGGCTGCTCCGAACCCAACAACGACATGGCCTGCTCGGCGTGCGTCCACTACAAACACGAGGGTCGCTGTGTGTCGGACTGTCCTGAAGGCACCTTCATGTTCGAGGGCTGGCGCTGCATCACCAAGAGGGAGTGCTCTGAAGTGCACCTCTCCAACGACAATCCCTTTGTCATCCACAACAGAGAATGTATGAATGACTGCCCCTCTGGCTTCACTCGCAATGAAACTGACCGGTAAGGACACACACCTCCGACTTGTTTCTTATTACGGGGTAATGCCAAGAGAGGTGACATATGTAATATATGATTTTTAAATACATGGCTCAGCCTTGCCAAAGAATCTTTTAAGGTATGAACAACATCTCTTTTCTATTGCTGTGTTGTTGAATCTCACACAGAACTGCTTCTTGGTGAAATTTCCCATGAACAGGTGTGTGCTTACACTGATGTATTCAGACTTTAAAGGAACTTGTAACCAATAAGCACTTCTGCATTATACATTCTTTGCATAAGGCATCCTTGACTTGAACTTTACCTAACCCCAACTCTTAACATGGATCTTTTCCTAAAGTAGTTCATGACGTAGGAAGTTAACATGGTGCTGAACTATTAAAGATTCATGGTTAGACTGTCTGTACAGTAAAATGTCCTCAGCACAGAGCCTTGTTCTCAACTCTCACACCACTGGTAGATTTTACAAACACTCACCAGGGACACCTTATTCTACTTCCTTTGCATGCAAACCCAGAACTTAGAACTTTGTCCTCAGTTTTTACTTGTCACACGCACTAAATCTCTTAATGTAATTGACCAGCAGAAGGTGGCACAAATTTGCAAAGTGAGAGGTAATTCACATATAGTTTTAAATATTTTTACAAATACAAGTCAAAAAAGTGGTTCTTGCAGTCCCCCTTTGCAGACTGGGGTGGTAGCCAACATGATGTTACAGAGCCACATAAACCAACACAATCCCACAGCACAGCAAATCTCATAAACCCCTGGGATGTTGCGAACGAGAAGCACTTCAGTGACCTCAGCGACTGAAGAGCCTGATCCCAGGTCACCAGACTACACTTTGTCATTAGGAGAGCTGATGGTGAGATTGAGGAGGTCTTCACAGTGTTCTGTCCACTGATCCATGACATCCTGAATATAGAGAGAGAACTGCTGCTTCACCTTCCTGAAATGCTGAATGGTGGACCAGAGGTGTCATATTTTGTTGGAAGAGACCCAAAGGCCAAAAAGGCCTGATAAGACTCGACAGCGTCCTTCACAGCAGGTGTCCACCAGCGGGTTGTAGGGTTACTGCAACGACAAGTAACCCTACAGCTCCCACAGCTCCGGTCAGCCACCTCAACAATGGAAGCACGGAACATGGCCCTCTCCAACTCAAGGTCCCCCGCCTCCCCGGGAAGTGTTCAAAGTTCTGCCGGGGGTGGGAGTTGAAGGTCCTTTTGACAGGAGTCTCTGCCAAATGTTCTCTGCAGACCCTCACAATACGTTTGGACCTGCCAGGTCCAACCCATATCCTCCCCTACTTGCAGCAACACATATTAAATTGTAAGCCATGTGCCCTTTTCCTTCCATTCACTATAATATTTTATTCTGTGTTGATCTGTCACATAAAGTTTCCAAAAAATACAGTGAAGGTGTAAGTACTTTTGTAAAAAACTTTCATTTTTCACTATTTCTCTTGCTGATTTGTCTTTTGGGCCTGTCTCTTAGTTGCTGAATCTGTTTCTAGCCATTGCATGTGTTTTGTCTCAAAGGTTGAAACAGTGAGTCACTCTCTCACGAAACAGTTCAGCTGAGGCTCTATAAAAGATTAAACTGTCCGTGTGAGAAGTGACCTTTTATCATTCCCTGAATTTATCTGCCTGAATCCTCTGGAATGCTTTTGGGCTGAGAGAAGACAAATTATTTCAGTGCGAGGTAGAAAATGTCACAAAAAAGATGTTCTTTCTTTCTTTTGTATTAATTCCTTTCTCCCCAACCCCAATCCCTTTTCTCTCCTTTTGGCTTTCTCGTGTGCAGCATGCTGTGCACCGCTTGCAATGGTCTGTGTGACAAGTTCTGTACGTCGTCTGTTATTGATTCTGTGGATGCTGCTCAGTCCCTGAAGGAGTGCACTGTCATCGAAGGCAATCTGGTCATCAACATCCGCAACGGAAGTGAGTGATTCTAAAACCGTGTGCTCTTTTACACAACAGCAGTGTTTGGTGGTTAATTCTAGAAATGCTACAAAAGTAACTGAGCACAGTAAAGAGGATTTTTTTTTTCTTTGAGGAGAAAACATATTGTCTCTGTTTTGTTTTGTAGAGACATTATGTTCTCACTCTGTATATTTGCCTTTGTTTTCTAGAATTAGAGAGTTTGTGTCAATGAAGTAATGCATAATTGTGAATTGCACGGAAAATAATACATGATTTCAAAAAATATATATACTGAGTCGTGTGGTGTGCATATATATTCAGCCCTCCCTAAATCAATCCAGTCATAACCTATTTCTAGCTGTCAATTTTTAAAAAGATGTTTAATTGCATTTCATTTTCATATGGTTTAGTTGCAATGGTTATCTGGGAATAATTTCAGTGCATATTTGCTTTCTGTATCTACTCTTTACAGTTAATATAGCCTCTGAGCTGGAGACCTTCATGGGACTGATCCAGACAGTGATGGGCTATGTGAAAATTCGACACTCTCACTCTCTCAGTTCGTTGTCCTTCCTCAAAAGCCTCCGATACATCAACGGGAAGGAGCTTATTGAAGAGTAAGGCTGTGTGAACCTGGTCATCTATGCACAATTTTAAAAATACGAGAGCAAAGGATGTTCTCCATTGTCTCAGGCAGCAATCAGTACTGTCCAAAAACAGTGTTTTACTTTTGCATTAATGTGTGTGGAGCCCTCAAACATTTAACAGCTTTATATCAACATTATTTATCCATTTTTACATGTGGCTGGGTAGATGTTTGTTTAAAACCAACAAAAACATTTTATAATGAGGGAAAAGACTACTTTTATTGAAGTAAAACTAGGCCAGTCAGCAAATAGAGAGAGAAGTTGTGAACAATGACAGTGATTTTCTACTCTTTCTGTCCATGTTGATCACGCTTCCAAATATTGAATTAACATTAATAGCCTCCTCGTTCGGATTAGTACTTCTCGCTTTGCAGTAGAGGATGGTAGTTTACAAGTGCAGGCAATTTCCGGTAAGTGTCGAATTGGAGCATCGCATACGTCACAGACAAATGTTAGCAATTGGGTAAAATTTAAAACTTCCATACAGTCCACGCCTCCAGGAAGAAATCATTTCTCAACAGTAAAGACCACGATCCCTCTGGAGGAAAAAGAATAGGACAAGGGACTCGTTTTTATCAGGCTAGTCTAACCTTCGTACTAAGCTTTTCGTGTCTGGTTCCAGATAGCGATGTGTGTTTGAAAACATTATAAGTGGCAACTAAGCAGACTGGAAAGGCTCACGTTTGCTAATGTCTCTATTTGGATATCAGCAGCAGCCTTAGATCCAGAGCAGAGCTTTTTTTCTTTAGCTGAGGGGGTCATGGGAAAGCCTTGTGTCCCTCTTGTTATCATTTCTCCCGGTGTTAAGTTTCTCTCCAAGGAATGCTGTTGAGGATGGCAGACATTCCCTTCCCTCTGGAACCTTTATGCTTGGACCGCTGCTGCTAATAGTGTTGACATGACACTCATTGTTAGGAAGACACACGATTCGGAGCCCATATTTATGCTCTTCCATTTTGGTGCACAACACTGTTACGTTTAACGATATTTCATTACCATTTGAACTGTCCGTTGCTACACACAAGTTGCTTAAGAAAAATAACTTGTTGCAACATGTTTGTGATCGTCTGCTTATCTTCTCTCATTATCAGCACATATTCGTTCTCCGCCGTCAACAACCAGAATCTGCAGTCCTTGTGGAATTGGACCCAGCACAACCTGACTATTCAGGCAGGGCGTCTCTTCTTCCGTGGAAACCCGAAGCTCTGCAAGTCTGAGATTCACGCCATGTGGGAAAAAACGGGCATAACTGTAAAGCCAGAAGAGGGTGATTTCCGCTACAATGGTGAACGGGCCAGCTGTGAGTGAACATTTTGCTGAAGTCAAAAAATGTGTTAAAAATGTCATATTGTGCCTCCTTACAGTCATATTTTCATTTTGCAGGACTTATTTAAAGGAGGCTTGCATGACAGGATATTCCAGTGTTTCTGCATATCTCTGTGACCTGGAAAGCCTAAAAAAATAATCCATATTAGATCACCAAGAACACCAGAGATTAGACTTCTGGCCTGTTTTACATTAGCTAATGTTATAACTGAAAAGCTAAGACTAAAAGGATTCTAGGTTAGCTTATAACTACATCCAACTGCCTTAGAGCTGTGCAATTAATCAAATTTGTAATTTAGTTTCAAATTAAACTCTCAACAACTCAAAATAATTAGTAGTAATAATCATTTAGGGGTATTTTTCTCCGTAAGTCTACCTTGCTTGATTTGTGCAATCGCAATGCAGTGAGAAATCTGGGTTGACTCCATATATTTATTGTGATTATGACTTTTTTTTTATTTATTTTTTTTATGAATAAGCTTTTAGGTGATTTAGATTTCTCTCAAGAAGGTTTCTTGTCCAAGAGTTTTTCCCTGATCTTTGTCTTTAAGGTTTCTGAGACAAAATGTCTGGATCCTTCTTCAAACCTACATGATGATTTTGCTTTCTTGCCTTTATTTCAGTTTCATATCATATATGGAGAAGTCATGTTTGAATGAATTTGTGTGAGCAAATAACATGTTATTTAAACTAGGTATCATCCAAAGGAGGATGTGTTTTTTATATTTTCTTAAAACTACAAACCTGAAAAGGTTAAATGAATTTTTTAATTTCTTCTCCCATAATATAATGCAATGCCTAGTTTGGTTTGCATTTCTTTTAACTAAAACACGGTTTTTTTGGGGGGAGGGGGGTTCCTGAGCAATCAGCTTGGTTTGCTTAATTGCTAGTTAGCATGCATCAAGTGAACTATTTTTTTGTCCAGTTTCTTTCAGTGTTGTTTTAAAGAAGCACAGAGGCACATAAATAATAATTATGGGTTGTACAGTTTATGTATGGCACCTGTTGTCTGCCATACATAAACTGAGACTGAGCTAAACTCATTACAGCTATATTCAGCTGTTCTTCACAAAAAAACGCCCTGCAATTTCAGATGTTTGGTCCCAAATTAATAGATACCACATCTGTTTTCTTCCTTGTGTTGTTTTATCAGCCAAAGTTCATGTTCATCTAAATTACATTGTGCTTGTTTCATGCTTTTTGGATTTGTGTTTTTCTCCTCCAGTTGTATGAAATCCAATGCACTTCTCATCAGCAGTGATTTTATTTTCCATGGTTGCTTAGTTCTAATTTGGAGAGTTGATGTAATATATTCATTATTTGCAAATGCTACAGTTGCTATTGCTGCAGTCTCCTTAAGGCTCCTCTGACAAAGCTCCAGTTGACACGGGCAATTTTAAAACTGTGGAGTGTGAGGCAGCAGTTTAATCTTTCTTTAAAGCCTGTCCAACTAGCCTCTATCCATACCATATGAAAATGTTTTGCAGGGTACTACAGATAAGTGATGAAGCTGTACTGCAAATAGTGTTATAATCAGATAAAGAGTGCTTTTGTTCTATTGTCCAGAGTTCTTGCTTTTTTGAGACTTTTGAGAAAAACAGCTGAGAAACAAGTCATATTGCAGTTTAAGTTGTCTAACTGGGAGAGGGGGGTCTGCTTTGTCATTACAGGTGAAAGTCACACCTTGAAGTTCAAGTCTAACATTACAACAAGCAACACGATCACGCTGACGTGGGAACGCTACCAAGTCTCCGACCGTGGAGATCTCTTAAGCTTCATAGTCTACTACAAGGAGTCGTAAGTGCTCAACAATTTCATAACAATTTTTTTAAAAAACCCCTCATCACACATCGGTTTGTACAGGGTGTGTCATGACTTTTGATTGCCAAATTCTAATTTGACATTTTGCATATTTGTACCAAAGATTTGAATTGGTTCTCTTTCAGACCTTCCCAGAATATCACAGAGTTTGATGGCCAGGATGGCTGTGGCTCCAATAGCTGGCACATGGTGGACGTAGACCTTCCACAGGACAAAAATACAGATCCCAAATTTACTCTTCAATATCTCAAGCCCTGGACCCAGTACGCCATTTATGTGAAAGCCACCACCCTGCAGATGAAGGACGAACACATCTCTGGGGCGAAGAGCGACATCATTTATATCCGCACGCGACCTTCATGTAAGTCTGAACAGCAGTCTTTCTCATTTTTTCAGTGATCACAGACAACGCAACATGACTTTGGTTTGTTACAGTGCCGTCTGTGCCCAAAGATGCCCATGCATATGCCAACTCTTCAACCAAGTTGCTAGTGAAGTGGTCACCTCCAGTTTTTCCCAATGGCAATCACATTTACTACCTGGTGCGCTGGCAGCGGCAGCATGAGGACCAGGAGCTCTACAAGCATAATTACTGCTCCAAAGGTTATTACACAAAATTCCTATGAAATATGCAAATTGTTGCTGTTTGAACTTGAGAGACTTGAAAACTGCCTTTTATTAAAGGTCGTTCCACATTGGTATTACTTTTCAAACAGAGCTGAAGTTACCAATCCGGAGCCCATCATTAGAGCCCACAGAGGGGAAAGATCACCTAACCCCCCCCAAAATTACCCTGCCTGGGGAAAAAATGGAACAGTGTTGTCCTTGCCAGAACACTTCCGAAGAAAAGGATAAGAACAAGCATGACCACTACTATTTAAAAGCTTTTGAGAACTTCCTCCATAATGTCATCTTTCTTCCAAGGTAAGGTTATTTGTGCTTGTTGGTTGTTGAAGGAAAGATATGTGGACCAGGAATGCATAAAATTGCAGGATATTAACTATGTAGGATTGGGATTGGATACCAATTGACAAATTGTGTTCTAAAACATTTTCAGTTGCTTTTTTGACTATTACAGAAAATAGGTACTTTTAGGTGTGCTTTGCAAAACCCTTCACAACCCTTACAACACAACACAAATTTGATTGTATTTGAATTTTATTTCACAGACCAACAAAATGTGGTGTATAATTGCAAAATGGACAGAACATCAGTTTCAAAGATTTTCACCAAAGATATTTGAAAGCCGTGACAGGAATTTATGTTCATTTTATGTTTAGAAGCAAGTTGAATCATGCTTGCTGTAATTAGAACTGCTAGTCATTTTGAGATATGTTTCTATCTCATTTGCACATCTAGATACTGTCTGCCTCGATGCTTAGTCTTCTTTCCAAACTATCTCAATTGACATTGTACGGGGAGATTTTGTGAACACAATTTTTTTATTTGTCACAGATTCTCAGGTGCCTTTATGTTTTGACTTTGACTGGGCCATTCTAACCGTAGCTCTGACTGTATACTTAGGGCTACTATCATGCTGGAAAGTGAATTTCTGCCTCAGTTACACGATCGAAAAGCAAAAAAAGCAAGAGAAGCAAGAGACAGCACACGATTAGTTTTCTTTAATGTATGGTGTTTTGTATGTTTACTAATTAGTGACTTCTGAAGACAATTAGTACCAAGGGGTATTGAAATAAAAGGGGTTGTGTCTGTAGGTAGGCTGAACAAGCATAATGGAACTGAATAGATCAAATGAACTTAACCTGAACACTTTCCAGGGCTTCATGCTGTATTAGTTGTGAACTGTGACCTTGGGAGTGTTGGGACATGGAGCACTCTGAACATGTTTTGCTTTGTTTGATTTATATAGCTCTACTGTTCTAAGAAGCATAAAATCATTGCCTTGAGCAGCCAAAGTGTGCACAGGCTCTCCTCTGTAATGGGGCCACCACTATTTTACTCCAAATCCGGGAGGATTTTGTTCTCTTCAAAAGTTCAGTGTTTAGTCGCCAGGAGGGGGGAAAAGAGCGTCCTCGAAAAAAGAAACAGAAAGGAGAGGAAATGTTTTCCATTTAGCCTCCCCCCGTACCCAACACCCACACACACACACACACACACACACACACACACCCCCCCCCACACACACACACACACACACACACACACCTCCTCCTCCCCCACCACCCCACGGCTCCTCTTGCATGCTTGCTTTGTTTAAGACGCTTTTTTTCTGGAGTCAAACAGCTGCCAGGAAATGTACAGGGAGTCCATCTGGAATTTAAATGAAAGGGGGAAGAGTCCCCACCGGGAAGATATACAGTGAGCAAAGTAGCATTATCAGACTAATTTACAGGAGGAGAGACGGGATGAAAAAGAGAAATGCTTTGGCAGTATCTGCTTCAGAGACCTCAAAGACCTGTCATCGGCAGACGGGAGCGTTTAGTTACTGTAATCACCTGCTGTCGTGGGTGGTGATGAATAGATACAGATGAATTGATAGGGATTTCCTGGATGCTGCCACATCTAATTTGCTTTACTCACTGGAGCCTTAATGTTTAATCATGACTGCCCCGTCCGACTTTGTTGTTTCAATCTCTCGCTCTCTCTCGATAATCAGCCAAACGGGAGGAAGAGAACAAATAATGCAACAAGCTGCTTCAGTCAGCTAAGGATATTTCTCTTAGTTACGTTTATATGATTCTTTTATTACCTATTTTACTTTGTGTCTGCTTTTAAAAGTGACTGTCAATCAGGGTCAGTTCGACTCTTGTCTATGCTTTTATTTGCACTCCCATATCTGTTTATTTATATGTACGATGTATTGTAAAGCGAAACTCATGTGCTGGGATTTGGTTGCTCGGCTGCTGAAGAGACATCAATCTGTAGGGATGTTGAATGGTAAGCGAAGCTGTACTTCACAGCTCCTGTAAGCTCACTTAGTTTAGTTTACTCTTCATTTTAGTATGATGGATTGATTAAGCATTGCTCAGTGAGATGTATGAAGTTTGAGATCCAGCTTCAAACCTCAACCCTGCTTTATGCATCATCCCAGCTTTTATCCCTGACCTTTCCAGCATGTTGGATCTGTTTTGTGCTGGATTTTGGTTTCAAGGCAAATAGGGCAGAAGCAACAACATACAACACTTTTCAAATACTCAATTCTAAAAAAAACTTTGAAAATCCTTATTGGATTTTCAAATACCAACTGTCTCCTATTTTGTGTTGGTCTATCACATAAAATCTCTTTAAAAAAAATAAAAAAACATTGTTCTTATAATGTAATATACTTGGAAAAGCTAAAATACTTTTCCAAGTAACGGAAAAGTAAGTCTTTTTGTTTCTGCTTCATCAACTGAGATCAGTACAAGTTTAACTTGTGGACTCAATGTCCCGTTGTCTGTCTTGTACAACTGATGGTGCTGCCTTCACAGCTGTCACCACCTCCCCACCCTCAGTGGTGATGATGTGCAGTTCCAGGAGGCTCTGCAGCTTATCATCTGAATTCTGGCACTGAGAGTCAAAAATCTGTAACATTCTGTGTACAACTGAGCTCTGAGCGTTAGAAATGAAGACTAAAAATTTCTGTCAGGACAGTTTTCTCCGGCTGGTTTTATTCTTTATTGTAACATGTCCACAAACTATGTGTTTTTTTTTCATATTATTTTTTAAGTAATGTGGAAAAAACATTTATTTTTTTTCCTTTGTCCACTTTGCAATGATCCATCTGACCTCATTCTTTGACAAAGCACTGCTAAGACTCATTGGAGACCATAGAAACACTAATAGAACCAGCATACTTCGGCAAAACCTTATTAAGCTTTTGACCATAAAGCATTGGTAGTTAATAAAACACAGTTGCAAAAGTGGAATTATAAGGTATTTATTTTGTTGCCCAACTTTACAATTTTTTTTCCATGTTTTGTTCCTTTGTTTTAGACCTGCAGATCGTCGTCGCAGAGACCTTTTTGGTCTTGCTAACAACACTCAGTTTCACGACAGCAGTCAGGGCAATACTAGCCTTGGCTCAGTGGATAACAGCACAAATGTCATCCCTCGTGTCATTGAATATTCCTTCCTTGATGACAGAACGTCAGCAGAATTTATAGAAATCTCTGACCTAACGCCTTTCACCTTGTACCTTATTGAAATCCACGCCTGCAACGAGGACCTGGGCTACAACTGCAGCATCGGAGCTTTTGTTTTTTCTAGGACTAAACCTGCTGGTAAGGAGAGGACAATCTTGTGAGTTTTGTGAAAAATCTAAAGATAGTTATGTTATTGTCTTGTGTGTATAAATGTGTTTGGCAGCCAAAGCAGATGACATCCCTGGGAAGGTTGTCTATGAAATGTGTGACAAGATTGAGGGGTGTGTGGTGCTGCACTGGTCAAAGCCCGTCACACCTAACGGACTTATTCTGATGTATGAGATCAAGTACCGTCTGGGGAATGAGGTAATTCTGACAGGGTATAATTACAGACACTTTACTATATATATGTTGCTTGCCATGTTTAGTGGCACCTCTGATAAGGATGTGTAAAAAAAAAAACTTTAAGAAAAGCTTTTAGTCTTTAAAAACATTTTGCAAGTTGCAAGATACAGAGTGAGTGATCTTTCATCTTTCCTTTTTACAAAATGTTTTCCTAAATCCTCCAGTCCTGGATCCCATTTACAGTTTCTGTTAGGGGGTCACCAAATGTTATTTCAAGTCTTGTTGTATTTCAAAGTGTTTAACTTTGTGCACTTTGTGAAGATTTATTGGGGCTTTGGAAGAGAAACAGGCCAATAGCGACACTGATCCTCCACCGTATTTGAAACTTAACCACTGTTGAAATCAGTCTTCCAGAACCTAAACCCTGATATAAGTAGAACATTTGTTTTCTCCACAACGCTGTATAGTGAAAAATAAAGGTAAAAAAAATAATACACTGTGAAAGTGAATCAGGATGTAAACATGCAAAGCTGTGTTTTACGAAAAGTGACCCGTTAATTTCTTTTCTCCCAGCCTGAAAAGCATACGTGTGTGTCGCATCAGCAGTACCACGACTACAATGGAGTTCGCTTGACGATCCTGAGCTCCGGGAACTACTCTGCTCAAGTGAGAGCCACGTCTCTGGCAGGAAATGGCTCATGGACAGAGAGCATCTACTTCTACGTGCCTCCACCTAAACGTAAAGCAACACTACAACATTTTAAGATTATGTGTGCATGGGTCTAGTAAAATTCCTTGTCCTTAGCCCATGCAGAACTTTAATGTCACAACTATCTTACTTGTGATAATGACAAAAATTATTAGACTGTTGCTCATTGGTCTGAATTGTATAATTTTATTTGGAAATCAAGATTTGAGAGTCCTAAGGAAGAGCGTAGAGACACAGAATCCCAAGTTGGTTGATTCAGTGTGAAATTTCCACATTCAGTGAAGCTTTAGGGAGGCAAGCGATCTGCTATGCTGTGCAGCTTACCTGCATTACTGCTGCATTACTGAATCACTGCATCACTGCAGTGTGCAGTGAGTCATGCGAAAAGATCAAGGATAGACACAGTTTTTGTTGGTCATTTTCATTCTTAAAAAAATTGTTCGCAATTCATCTGGTGCAATATTTTATTGCAGTAGTTTTTTGCATGAAATGTATCACTATGTTTGTAATGAATTAAGTTTTACTTTTTGAATTGAATTTCTGAAATAAAAGTAGAATTTCCAAAGATACGCCAAATTCAGCTGTCGTTTTTCTTCATTTTGTTTCTCAGGAGATGATCTTGCGACTCTCTACTTGGTCATCATCCTGCCCATTATAGCGACTCTCGTAGTCGCAAGCCTCACCACCATTCTCTTCATCATCAACAAAAAGAGGCAAGTGCTTCCACTTATTAAGCTGCATTGCCCATGAAGCGTAATGATGAGAGTAATTTTATTTAGAGTTAATAGGTGTATTCATTTAGATCCCCCTTTGGGGAAGAGCAGACGTCCTATTGAGAATTAAATATTGCATCAGAAACCAAAGTTTGCTTGTCAGCTCACTGAGCCGGCCTTGTGTTTCCAGAAGCAACAACAGACTTGGGAATGGAGTCCTTTATGCATCTGTCAACCCAGAGTACGTCAGTGCGGCTGAAAGTAAGAATGTCAAACTTCTTTCCCCGACTTCTCAGCTTTACTGTTTGGATGTTTGTGCATGTTGGATTGACCCGGCGTATTTTTTTTTTTTTTTTGCTGCGGCAGTGTACACTCCGGATGAGTGGGAGGTAGCCAGGGAAAAGATCACCATGCACAAGGAGCTGGGGCAGGGCTCCTTCGGCATGGTGTACGAAGGCACAGCCAAAGGCGTCATCAAGGATGAACCTGAGACACGGGTGGCGATCAAGACGGTGAATGAGTCAGCAAGCATGAGGGAGCGGATAGAGTTTCTGAACGAGGCGTCCGTGATGAAAGAGTTCAACTGTCATCATGTGGTAAGGTGGACTTATGATAAAACAGCTGAAAAAACACTGACAAATGGTTAAGAATAACTTCATAATGGATCAGGAAATGTCACAGTGCTCACCATTATCATTACTTCCTAATTAATCTGCATATACACAAACGGAGAGAGAGGCCAGCAGGGCATGAGGACTCGGAGCTTGTAGTTTTCTGCAGCCGTAGCCCGAGGCAAAGGAACTGCCTCCTGGAGATTCTTTACATTCTCACATCAATGTGATCACAGCCTCATTAACTGCGTTAAATGGAAGTGGTAAAGATTCCCCTTTTAGAACGCCGCTCCCACGGGTTTCTGTTCATGTTTCACTGATAAAAAGTCAAGGGCTCCGTAATTAAATTCACTTTGAATAATGTAAAAGCTTGTTTTTCCTTTTGTGATCTTCAGAGCTAGTTAAAGATAAACTGTGTGCTTCTTAAGTATGCATTACAATTCCACTATAATATTATGAATATTTTAGCTTTGTAACATGATGTTGGTTTCTCTGAATTTGACTTATTTTCTGCTGCTGTTGACATGTAGGTGCGGCTGCTGGGTGTGGTCTCTCAGGGACAGCCATCCTTGGTTATCATGGAGCTGATGACCCGTGGGGATCTCAAGAGCCACCTCCGCTCTCTTCGTAATGAAGTAAGCAATGCCTCCCAACCAATGCATTCACATAAAAACCAAGGGCTCGAAGGTAATTTGTAGTAGTACATTGGTAAAGAAATGAAAATCAAACCGTTTTACATTTTTCTACCACACAAACCATGGATTTTATTTAGTGTTTAAGACACACCAATATAGTTACTGGAGAATTTTACAGTGGGATAAGGGTAATGATATTTTGAGCTTGAATCAGGTAATGGATTAATGTCTTATCCATTACCTGAATTGGGATGAATATGAGACAATTGCAAAACATGGCTGACCACCTGAACTGACAGGACAGGCAGTAGAGTATTAGTCAGAGAAACATACAAGAGGCCAATATTAACTCTGGAGGAACTGCAAAAGTCCAGAGCTCAGGCTGGAGTATCTGTTGACAGGACAGCTACTAGATGTGGCATCAACTCTGACCTTTGTGGAAAATTTTTGAGGATTCAATTTTTGAAAGTAAGCCAAATTGAAAAAAAAAAACAAACAGGTAAAAGAACAGCAAGTTTTTTTTTTCAATTAGCTGTTTTGTTAAGTTTGTCTGTTTTTTAAAACTTTTATAATCTGAGTTTTTGTATATTGTAAGCATAAGGCCTTAATAAAGTATTAAAAACAAGGACAGCACAATATAGGGCTTATTTTATCATTCTGATCAGAACAATATTTATATTAATAGCTTTCTAAATGTAGACTTTGTGGATAGATGTATGAAATTTGTTTTAAATTTCTGAAAACAGCCTAATTAAATGGATAAAATTAATTTTGTTAAAAGCATTGGGGCTGCTTATGAGGTCTCATCATCTTCTCGTCTTGCTGTGCAACAGAACACCACCTCTCAGGTCTTGCCCCCGCTGAAAAAGATGATCCAGATGACGGGGGAGATTGCAGACGGCATGGCTTACCTGAACGCCAACAAGTTTGTCCACAGAGACCTGGCTGCCAGGAACTGCATGGTAGCTGAGGACTTCACGGTGAAGATAGGAGGTGGGTCTCATAAATGTTGTGAGTTCCTCTCCCAGATTGCTCAAGGCTGAACTGATTCTAAGTGAATGCCTAAGGCAGTGGAGTCTTAATGTAGACAGGCAGAAAGGGGGAGGTTGTGAGAGGGAAATGTTTTGCTTTCGGGAGTTTCCTCTGAAGCGATACTTAGTGGCTCCCCCAAACTGTTTGTTTTTTGGCATTGTTTTCCGTCAGATTTTGGCATGACCAGAGACATTTATGAGACGGATTACTATCGAAAAGGAGGAAAGGGCCTGCTGCCAGTTCGCTGGATGTCTCCAGAGTCACTGAAAGATGGCGTCTTCACCACAATGTCTGATGTCTGGTATGGAAACAAACTGCTCACACAAACACAAGACTGCCTTCCTTCATACATGTATGAACCTGCTTCAATCTGGGGGCTTTAAACCGCCTGCATATTTTCTCTTTGTGTTGGATAATACTCTAAAACTGTTCACGCTGTGGGGTCACAACTGTATAAACCTACAGCTCACTTCACAGCCAGGATTCTTTACAAGATTTTCACTCAACAGTTTGAACATGAGTTTCCTGCCATGACAGCTTGTATTTCCAAAACATCAAAACCTTTTTTCTTTTTTTTTTTTTTTTTTTCTATTTAGGTTGCTGGCTTGCTCTTTGCAAATTCCTTCCGCTCTACAAAACACTATATCTCTCTTTTTTATTTCTGAGCCTACAGCAATCTCACATTTTTTCTACCGCTGTGGCAGTCTCACTGTTTACTAGCTCCCCTGCAAGTTTTTGTTCCCCAACTCAAAGTGTCCCACGGATTAGTTTGCACGAGTGGGTATAAACTGCTCCAGATGTTCACAAATGAGAGCTTGTGTTTACACCACAAACCCACCTTCACATCATGTGTACTACATCCTGCTCCTCTTTGATGTTAAAGTTTAGTGTGGGACAAACCAATTATGGGCTTCATGAGTGGTGTGTTAATAAGAAGAGAAGAAACACTTCCTGAAACATATAGAGTGTTGTAATCTGGGTAATTTGAAGGAACACTTTGAAAATAAGACTTTCAAAGAGTAAATAAACATTAGGTGAATGCAAACATTTTCTTTTACAGAAAATAATATTTGTTTATATAGCAGCACCTATCACAGAATTAAACAAGTGTTTCACAAAATAAAGCAGACATACAAGACAAAAACTTAAGACATTAAACAAGAAATTAAAACTAAAAAACAGAAAACAGTCACAATTTTATTGAAGTTTTATAATGCATTTCTTTCTTGTACAAATTAGTTTTAACCTAGTCACTGCTTGATGGTCATCAAGCAATTGGTTATAGAAGACAATTTGTAGTCCTCTATTTTGAAAGAGCAAAATAGCTAAATATAATCTCCAAAAACACCAGGAGAAAGTTGGTAAACCCTACAGAATATCTTTGCTAAAATATTTATTTTTAGAACAATATGAGCCTCAAGACAGAATCCTGTTCTTGTTCGTATTGAGGGACAGTAGGTTTAAAAATCTAAACCCAGATGCTTTCTTGGGTCTACGCATATAATAAGTGACTGAGTAACAATTTCTCTTCTTCTTTTTCTTCTTCATCAAAAAAACCTTAGCTAAACTTGTCAAACACATCAGGAATTAGATTAACTTAAATTTAGACTTGTAAACAGTCTATATTAAGACTTGTTTTTCAGTTTACCCTCATGATTTCTTGTTGACATATTTTGGACATGTAGGTCTGTCTGTTTGGTATTCTCATAACCAAAAACAGTCTGAAGAATGAGCTGGAAAGAGGGCAGGATTTAAGATGGACAAAAATATAACTTAATTTTGTTTGCATTATGCTTCAAACCAACAACGCTGACTGTTTTTTCTTTTTTATTAATTTTTTATTAATTAATTCTGACTGTTGGTGAATATATATATATATATATATATATATATATATATATATATATATATATATATATATATATATATATATATATATATATATATATATATATTTATTCACCAGTGTTGGTGAAAGAGTGCTTTACATTTTGAGCTAGAAAGAAATTGTCTATTCATTCTATCGAGATTTTATGAAGATGTTCACATTCTGTTCATTCTTTGCTCCAAATAAATATCAAGCCCATGCTTGCCTTATTTAAGATCTCTGTTCTACTTATTTAATTTGGCAAGAATAAATTTTTATTTCATAAAGGTGTAGTTCTGATATTTTTTTTAATAGTGTATTAGATTAGAGGTTATAAGTAGTCAATATCCTTCAGAGATTAGCTTGCAGCTAATCCCAGTCAATTTGCAGTGTATTTTTTCTATAATAAACAAGAAAACAAAAACTCCCACTAGTTTAATAAGTATTTATTTGACTTTAAATGAGAATGTGGAAGAATTTTTACGTTTTCTTTTTAAACTCCAGAAACAAAACCTTTGGTTTCATGTTTGTTTTTTGATGTAACTCTCCAGGTCATTTGGTGTTGTGCTGTGGGAAATCGCCACCTTAGCTGAACAGCCTTACCAGGGCATGTCCAATGAGCAAGTGCTGCGCTTTGTCATGGAAGGGGGACTCCTGGACAAACCCGACAACTGCCCGGACATGCTGTAAGTCTTGTGATTGAAAGAATGAACTGCTCTCTGTGCCTCTTCTGTCCCGTCAATATTTTACCACGTGTCTATTTTAGGTTGAGGTTTTAAGGGTAAGAGATACCGCGTGCGTACACTGCAGTGAGGGCTGACATTAACGTCAGCGGTTAAAAACAGTCGGTTGACGGCATGACTTAGACGGTCAGCTGGTAGCCGGGAGCCTCCTCACTCGTCGATATCGGCCCATAGAAGGAATGCCACAACCGGTGTGTGAAAAATGCCAGTCATTCCGCCTGTGGGAATCGTTATTGAGAGGGACAAGCAACAGGAATAAGCGCATCAGAAGCCATTAACATATTTGTGACTTATTTGTGAAAACATTACTGCTTTTTGAGAGGCAGAAATAGAAGACTGATGACTCTCAGCATGTAGGGCTGCACACGCTGTATGCGTTTCTTTGACCTCAATAAGAAGGCATTCTGCATTCTCCCCTGCTGCTCCACATGGCTGACCTCACCTTAGAAAGAGCGCAAGCAGAACAAAAAATAGGGCTGAGTGTTGTGCAGGCACAAACCTCTGGTTTCTATGGCAGCCCCAACAGTTTTGTCCTGATTACAGGAGTGTGTGGATTGTGTTTCAGAGGTGGTGCTGGAGTAAGGGCTTAGCTTTTTTTTGTCTTTTAGCGGCATGCAGTGGAGTCAGGCCGCTGCTCATGGCCGCCTGTGCTTTGGTGTTTTAAAGGAGACTTGAGGAGGACTACTGAAGCCAGACATTTAGACAAATAGTGATGAATAGATGGGATAACACAAAGTGGAAGTAGGGAGGAAAACATGCAGTAAGATGAGTCATATTTGGATGTTTTTCAACGTCTCCATGCAAAGTATTCCTCATGTAGCTGTAAGTCACACAACTTGCCTACAGACTAAAGTAGCTTCTTTCAAGCTGGGATACGAACCAAAGAGACTACATTGTGCCAGTCATTTTTATTGACAACTCTGTAAAAGATGTATTACAAAACTTAAAATAAATCAGTTTTTATTATTGCAGTAGAATTATTATGGATTTTTCATCCATTATACCTGCTTGCGGCATTGTAGGGCTCTAATAATGTGTTTAAAATTATGTTTGTGTTTCTTATCAAGTCTATGAGTTTCAGTAAACTTTAAATTTGTCAATCCAAATTTAAAGGTGGATTAACAACTTTAATAAATAGTCATATTTATTAACTATTTCCATGGTCTATAGATATGATATGACAGAGTGACAGATTGTTCTTAAAAACTGGTCACCAGACTGGAAGAGGGCCCATAGTTATATTAGCTATGAACAAAATATGTTAAAAAAAAATCTCAGTGCAACAGAGATGTACAGAGCGACAACCTGGGCTCACCAAGTGCAATACCTCCACCGTATTTCCATGTGACACTCAGCATCTTATTGGTCACAACAGTTTAAAATCTGCATCACTGACCCTGTGTTATTTGATCAGTGCCTGAAATTAAACACTGGCTGAGATGAGCACTGATAAACCCTGGTGAGGAATTTCAGGATAGTAATGGACACCAGCCGAGTGCTAAACAAAACATTGACAGAAGGAATAAACAGCAAAGTATAAGGTAGCATAGCTGAGGCTACATTTACATGGCATATACAATTGGAACAACTCTAATTTTGACAGGTTAGAAGTGAGTTTCCACTAATAGCATGAATGACAAGATTCTGACAAGAAGTCAGCTTTTTAACCTGTTTTATAAATTAGTATCAACAAGTGTACTAGACACCAGATGTTGGGCGAAGCAGAAGGCAGGTTACTGTGGTGTGTCAGCACAGCCGAAAGTATTAGATTTCTTTTCATTAGTACTCTCCTCTGTGTGGGTTTGGACATCACATGTCAACTTTGAGATGCTTCCTGCAATTCTGGCAAAAACAAACAAACAAAAAAAAAAACAGTCAGCCATCCCCTCTGCTTCTCCAGAATAAAAAGTTAGACCTGGGCTTAGGCAAGCTCTACCTCAAATTTCTCTGGGAGTAGAACAGCTGGCACCTAGCTGCAGGACTGATTCTGAACGCCAAGAAGGCCTCAAGGAGAGAAGACAAACAAGACTGAGGGGGAACAGCGGTAACAGAGCCTGAGATGGCTGAGGTGTTTATGTCAGTGAGCCTTAGAGAGTATTCTTAGCTTGTTTGTGTATAATTGAAGTTGCGGCATGTGGTGCAGAACCACACAAAACTGTAATAATTCTCTCTTTTTATGGTGTTGTTTTGACATTCCCAAAGCTCGGTTGCTGGCCTGGCACAGCAACCTGAAGGAAGACTTACTGCTCCACTGAGTGGATTTTACATAACGGATCTAACTGCACGCATTGTGCTGTGGTAGAAAAACATCAAAATTACAAATCTTTGAAGCAGCCATAAAGTTAACTTCTAAATTTACAAGCAGTGTCAATATGCCTCTGCACCAAAGATTAGTCTTTGTTAGAAAACTAGACATTATGGGAGAGGAGATGTACTCATTACCATATTTGAAGCGTTTGAGTGAATTAAAAAAAGGCAGATTTATAACAGATGGGACATGCTTTTTGTATTCACACCTGTAGAAAAAGATGGAAAAACAGCAGCTAAGACTATTTATGTAAATCTCTAACTTGTTACTGTAATATATAACTTTAATAATTTGTTTGTACACAACTTTAAAATCAAAACACGTCAGCAAACTGAGCTTAAATGTCAAAAGAGGACAAAAATTTTAAAATGTCAGTCTCTCCTGCCACCTGCTGGTGAGAAACAGTCTCGCAATGATTAAACGCTGCATCCAGGCATTCCTCCAAACTGCTTAAACCACAGCAGTGCAAGTAGTTCTCTCCCTAAAACATTCTATGCATCAACTTACTCTGTCTCATTATTCAGGTTTTTGCAAAAAATGTTGGATTCTGACACTGAAGTGTAATTTAGGAATCTTATTTTATCGTGCAGCATTAATAATCTTGTTTTTTGTAAAGTTCTTTAAATTTGTTTGCACTTTTCTGTTCTCTTTGCACACATATAATGCATTTTAATTTGGCAAAATTCTCCATAAATCTGCACTTGTTCACATTTCTTTCTGCTTTGATTGTCAGAGGGCAAAATGAATCTCAACTTTGATTGAAAATTTACTTCACAGGACCATATTACTTATTTCTGCCACAACACCAAATCCAAAGTGGTGTTATCAGGTCAAAAATAAAACATGTGGCTGAGATTTTTCTCTTTACAAAAGTTCAAAATTTAAGGAGCAAATTCTTTAATTGTCATGGCATTCATATGATGTGCTCCCTTCAGGTTTGAGCTGATGAGGATGTGCTGGCAGTACAACCCCAAGATGCGTCCGTCCTTCTTGGAGATCATCAGCAGCATCAAAGGGGATCTGGATCCCCACTTCCAGGAGGTGAGTTTCTTCTACAGTGAGGAGAACAAGCCGCCGGACATGGAGGAGCTCGACATGGAGGTGGAGAACATGGAGAACATTCCACTGGACCCTGTATCTACCAGGCAACCCTCAGCTGCTGGCATTCCCCTGTCTGGGTGCATGGGAAGCAGGTCACCTCTTTCCTCGCAGCAGTTATCTCCCTTACAAGGCCCAAGTACTCCCTTACTAGGATCTGTGTCCCATTCGCCACCGGGGCCTCTGCCCTCGGCCATGACGTCTTCGGGACAGGGCTTGGACAAGCACTCAGGACATGCTTTGGCCAACGGGCCTGTGGTGGTCCTGCGACCCAACTTTGATGAGTTGGAGCCGTACGCACACATGAACGGAGGCAGAAAAAACGAGCGGGCGTTACCGCTGCCCCAGTCGTCGGCCTGCTGATATCAGTCCAGCATCTCCTCTTCCTCTCACACAGGGTAACAAAAACCTCTCAGTCTCTTCACGAGAGTTGGGCGAGGTAAGAAAATTACTTTGTTTCTACTGTGTGCCAGTAGATGGGCTCTCTACTCCATTTAAGGCATGGAACGACCAGAGAACACAAACTCTGAGAACGGTAAAACAGCACAGAAACCTGCTGTGGCATGTGGTGTTTGGTGGCTCAGACACACTGGGGACTCCTTCCTGTGCAGCCTACATTGTTACATACAAGCCCTTCAAGAAGGAAACCAACATAAGGATGTATATTGGCACACAGACTTCTACATGAACTCAAGAAAAAATCTTTTTAGCATATCTGCCAGCAAAACCAACAGAAGAGCACTTTTGTCCTGAGGATTTCAGAGAGGATGTGATGAATATATTGAGCGTCTATTTATAGAATTCGATCATTCTCTCTACATTATGGTAAAGCGCCTCCTTTTTGTGAGCCAGCCGGGTTCATGTTGTGTGGCAACATCTCCTTTAAAAATAAGACTCTTAAATATTATTATTTTCTACGTGATCCTTTCAGGTGTGGGTTAAATTGGTAGGCCTGTTTTGTATCTGCCAAACTTTTGCCAAATCAAGCTTTTCCTTCAGTCTCCTAAGGGTGTCCTCTTTTTTGTTGAAGACTGTGATTCAGAGTTAATGATAAATCAAATCCTCCTGTGCAATAAAGAAAAAAAAAATTACTTGCCATATAACTTAGAATGTTTTTACTAAATTTAAATGCAAGGGTTTCCAGATTATGCTGGGTCAAATAACACATCATAAGCAGAAGCCAGCCCAAACACAATACCAAGTACAAGACTCTACTTAAAGAAGTGACTGTCAAGTCATAAGCAGCCACAATATTGTGATTGGCGATGGAGAATGCAGACTTTGCACTGGATCACACTCTTTTGTGCTATTTATGTTGATAGCGATAAAAGCTGATAATAAATAAATCATTTTGGCTGTAAATCTGTTACTACACAGTCACATCCTCAAAAACAAACATTGAAACTAAAACTACAGTACTTCAGAACAATATTCACTCCAATCAATTCTACATTTAAAAATAACCACATGTATGCATTGCTGGGTCATTGCATTAATAAATGCAAACTAGCAACTGCTGAGCAACTGCTATCTAAAAATATTTTATTCCTCCACATTAATTAAACAAAAAGTAAATCAAGGTTTTAAAAATTCATATTTCAGGCATAAAACAAGACACAGGGCTGGGTGATAAAATGTAAAAGTATTTCTATATTTTTAGGATTTACAGCACTAGATAGCGAGACATGTAAATTCATTCGTAATCACTCTAATTACGGTCAACCTCTGACTTCAGTGGCAAACAACAACTCAGATTTATCAAGATAATGAAAGTTGCAGCTGTCCTCTCATATAATCCAGCACTGGAAATGACTTAACGAGTCTGGCTCCAAAGGTTAAGATATTATTTTGGTCTCATTTTGAAAAGATTATACTTGTCTGGCAACTATGTTTGCAAAAGACATGATAATTGATATTACAGGGAAAATACAAATCACTGTTGCCACTGACAGCTGACAAGATTGCAAAATTTTTAACTACTACACAAAATATCTGAATAAACAACTGTTTGCACAGTTGTTTAAACACCAGACATGCTTTGACACATCAGCAATTTAAACGCATGGGAAATAAATGGAAAATCTCTGAAAAATCATTACAAGTTAACAATACAGTACGATCTATCTAGAAACTGATTATGCAAGCAATGTTTAGCATAATATTTACAGCTGGGACAGGCTAAGAGATAGCAGAATAAAAATTTAAAGAGGCTGTTTCATAAAGGCATCAAATTCCTAACCATGGTATTGAGAAAGGTCATGTAGAATTACTTTTGTTTGCGGGCTGCCTAGTGTTGTGTTTTAGACATTCCCATCAAGACACGGTGCCTTGACGGATCTTTGTGCTGCAGCCCTCAAGTAGGAAAGAGTCTTTCCTTTTTCGCAAGAGCATTAGCCAAAATTTAGCTTTCAACAAAACGTGATCTGCTTTTGTTGCAATGAGCTGATGGCTCCCTAAACCCAGATGATAAAATGTCAGAGTTGTTTCAAGTCTATCACCGCTGTTTTCATTTGCAAACCTATGCATTTGTTAATTTAGCATCTGTCACTAAAAACTAAATTGTTGGGCAGTTATTTTCACCTTTGTCACAACCTGTAGAAAAACGTATTTATCACCCAGTCCCAAGTCGAATTACCAGAAACCACTTACGCCTAATCAATTAAACAATCAGTTCACAAAGCAATCTCAAATGAGCCCCAAAATTATTGTGGCTGAAACTCAGTAATAAGACAGAATTAATATAAACAGGAGAGAAAAATGCTGTGCTAGTATTTGTAACATGCCTCACATCATGCAGCATAGCTTGTGCTCTTTAACAAAGAGAAAGTACAGCTGTGACATTACATTGTTTCCAACTGATGTAAAAATGGGGCTTCTGACAGAATGAACCAAAAAAATATAACATATCAGCATGGTCCAGATGCACTGAAATCATGTTATGAAACATTTGAAAATTTGATTATAATTTACTAGTGGCATTCAACTACCAATTGTACCTGCAGTTCTTGAATCTAGATAAAAAATGAAGTTCTTGTACCATTTTGATTAGTGTATTTTATAAAATAGATTTTTTTTTCGCAGGGGGTAAAAAATATCCACAATTAAAAATTTGTTCCACCTCAGGAAAATCCCTTTTCACATATGTTTGGTCCAAAAAAAACAACAACTCTGAATTACTATCTCAGCCGATTTTTTAGTTTGAAATATGCTTCAGTGCAAATCATTGGTCCTCCAGAGCTGATAACCCAGCTTATCACCCTGCTTTATTTTCTCACAGTTTTGAGATAAACGGTGTTCAGATCCAGTGCTATCAAAACCGCAGCAACAAACTGGAGGCATCAATCAAGAGGCTGTTGGATCAGATTTAGTAGCCTAGAGGCAAACGTTCAAGTCTCTAAAAATGGTCATTATTGGTCTTTCTTGCATTTCAAACACACAGGAAAGGTCTTACAGTTGCATTTTAGACTGCAGAATAATTTTTTATACACATCATTGGGTTTTGTCACTTTAAAAAAAATACAATAAAGCTTTTTTTATACTTTTAAAAATGTTTGCCTCTATGTCTGTACAGAACAAAGCTGCTATTTTATTCTTTTTCTCTTTTTGGATGTTATATATATATAAATATATCTATATATAGAGAAATCCTTCAGGTTTGCTATTTTATGATCTCCACAGCAGTCCCTTTTTATATCTTTAAGCTGTTTAAAACAAAAAAAAGAGAAAAGTTACCCCTCAAGATTTTGAGTAACACTAAATTTCATTCATTGCCTTTTCTAAAGACTATGTCTCTTGTTGTTTTGTCAATATATATAATTATTAGAGATGAACATGTTAGCTCGATGTGTGAGCTTGTACTTCTGCACCCTTTGTTTTTTTTTCTATTATTATTGTTTAGCACTGTGCCTAGTGTTGTCCCCTAGGTACGATTTAATCTCAGGTTAAAGTAAAGGCTTTGCTTTCCCCACACACTTTCCTCTCCTTTACTTGCCTCACCTTTTGCCCCTTTCTAAGTCATCCCTCTCATGTTTTCTAAAGTGAAACAGTTTCCTCTTCCCTTCCCTTTGCTGGTCTCTAACAGCGAACCTTCCCTCCCTGTGCCTCCTTTCAAAGTCAGGATTAGCTCCGACATACAAGACGGCACTTCAGACCAGATCTGGTTTTGTAAACCCATCCATCTCATGCCTAATCCCCAGTAAATAGGGCTAACTGGGTTCTCTCGTTTGCCTTAAATATGTCAACCATATAGTCTAAGCATTTAAAGTTTGCAATTTTCATTTTATCCTCTCAAGCACAAAATGACATCACTCCTGCTAGTATCAAAATTTCAAGATGAGAGTTCAAAAGCCGCATCTGAAAGCCAAATAAAGGATGGGTTAAAGTCCAGGGAAGGGAACAAGGTTCAATGTCACAATTGAAAATAAAAGGTCTTAAAATGGCTGAATAGTAAAAAGTGTGTTGAAGGATTTCTAATGTTGCCTGGTGATTTTATTTTATTTTTTCTCCTCTTAAACTTATTTTCCTTGTAGGAGTGTTTATTTATTTATTGTTGTATTTTCCTTTTGAATACCAGTAAAAATCACTGTAAAAACGCCCCATACATAAGTACAAACTTGGTTTATTATTTTTATTATTTTATGTATGCATTGTCCTTGATGTTATGGCGAGGGTACTTTTTTATTTTTCCTCTTTTTTTTCCATTCAGGCATATATCTACCTCACTCTTTTTAAATGTGTGTATAAAAAAAAATACATCTCACTCTTAAAATTTAGGAGAAACCTCACCTAGTTAAATTTTTAAAAAGTCCACAGGGATCTCTAGATAAAACCTCATATGAAGCAGACTGGGACAGAAGGTGGAATGAGTTTGGCCCGTGAACGCCCACATGACTGGTTTTACGAAAAAAAAGCAAGTTTCTGTCTCAAACTTAGAATAAAGACACCACAAGGCTGACAAAACGTCATTGTTTTTCAGCTGGATCATAAGCAACCAGTGTGGATCAGTATGTGATGAAATAGAGCCAAACATTCCATCTCCACTGAGTTCCGACCTGTTGTCACAACCTTCAAATCCTCAAACCACAACCATCAGAATCTCATTGAAAATGTATTTCTAAAGAAATCTTAAAAAGATGACACAGGAAATATTACGAAAGGGAAATGTTTTATTTACCTCCACGAATGACATAAATAAAAAACACACTACATATATATGCGGTTCGACTTGCAGGTGACATGCCATTTTAAAACCTTTACTTTATTCCAAAACCGACAGCATTTAATTTCTGCCTGAAGTATCGATAAGTGTTGTGAATGTAACAAGGACAGATATGTAGTTTCACACAAAGCATCTAAGAAAAAGGAAAATCTCACCTTGTACCTGTTTCTACCTTCTGTAAGCATAAGAAACACTTTTCAATGATTAGTGGCAGAGAGCTAAAAAGCCACTATTTAGTTTTATCATTTCTGTAAACTCCATGTGGTTCTTTGTCATGTATCAATTAGAAATGTTGTGTCCATGTGATTTTCTTAGTTTTGATCTTTCAGACATTACAATAGATATAAAACGTTTACACGCCGCTGGTAAAATGCCAGATTTCTGACATGTTCAAGAGTTGGACCAAGATAAACCATTTCAGAGTTTTAACCCTCTCTAAAGTGACCCACTCAAAACACTATTAGAATGTAAATATGTCCCCATTAAACTATGTTGTATTGGACCATTCAATCAAAGCTTCAAGGCATGACGCTACCACCATTTTGCATCACAGTATGTATGACGTTTTTTTTTTTTTATATATATATACATATATTTTTTTTTTACTATGGTGCCTTGTTTGTTATAAACACCTTTTTAAAAACATAGCCCCCCCTCATGTCATGTGTTAGGAAAATGTCAAATGTGTTTTTGAAAAATTGGACTGGATTCCAGTTTGTCACTCTACTCCTTAGCCTAGACACATAAAGAACACAGGAGATCGTCATCTCACATGCTACACAGTCAGTACTTGCCAGACTTCCTGACCAGTTTTCTTCTCGTTTTTCCACTAACTTCAGATGTTGCCCAGTTTCTGGTAATGTCATTGTTACGCCCCGATTTCTCAACCTCATGTTGACTCTTTGAACTGCGCTTGATGGAATATCTAAAACCTTGGAAAGTCTTTTGTGCTCTTCTCTCTTCCCTCCAGATTGTTGGTTTGTTTTTTCAAGTTTGTGGTACATTAAAGGAGGAAAACATTCTGATATGGTTTATCATGATTTCACTTTTTACATATTAGCAGGCATTTTAACAGGGGTTGTGTTTCCACTGTATCTATACACACACCACTTTTAGTGCTGCCAGTTTAGTCACCACAGTGGATCTTACAGCATCACCAAAAATGTTATCTGTCCAAGGAAGCGAAGCAGCTCCAACACCTCAAAACCTCCTTCAAAGCCTCAGCTGCACGTTTTACTCATGGCCATTGGCTTGTTGATGGACTTGGACGAAAGTGGTTGTTTTTTTTTTCCTTTTTTCAAATTAGAAGTTACCCACAGGGTAACTTTTAATGTAAAAGTTTGGTGCTCAGTCCTCTTAATCATGCAACTGAACAATCTTTTCATATTTTTTAAAGAGCCAAGTTGCTGCTGAATTTCTTTACAGAAACCACCACTGACAAGCAAAAAAGGTCGAGATGTTAACATATCTGTGTGTTTATGTTTGTCCAGAAATCGTTAAATGTTTTTGTTTTTCAGTTCTTAGCAGTCACTGATATGCTGAGGGAGGAGCTACCAGTTACTATTAGATCCGAAACCTGTCAAATCTGTAACATTTCCAACATGGACAGAGCCAGGACAGGGATGTTGCATAAATTACGGGTAGTTCAGGTAACAAGTGAACAACATAGTTAGAAAAAGATAATTTAAAGTTTCACAAGTCACTCTTTTATTTACTGTAGACTGTAACCATAATCATAATTACATTCTTTTCAATTTTCTCATTAGAAAACATCAGGTTTATGGAGAAGGCAACACAGCAGTCTCCTGCAATAATTAGGTTTGAGGTGTATCGATCCACACATGTCTGTTTTTGTTTTATTTCATCTGCATTCCTAAAACCTTCGGAGGGGCCTTGGTCTTCTACTGCTACTACACTTATTAAATTCTGTGTTCATAACTTGACGGGGGAAGAATAATCAAACTGTTTTCTCTAGTCTGTCTTCTTTTTAAGCTCTGTATCTGAGGCCTCAAAGTTGTTTTTTCACAATTATAGCTGAGATGGTGTATTTTTGACAAGCCGTCTCAAAAATGTGTATAAGAGAATTTCTTGTATTTTACTTTTTTCTGAAATTTTGAATAAATAAGTAAATGAGAACTATGCTTTTTTGTTTCCTTTTTTTGCATACAAGATCCTCTTGGAAGGCTGTAAAATACTTGAGACTGAGCAAAAAAGATAAGTTTAGATCAAAGCATATTCATGAAGTGAGAAATGGCCCTGAGCTTAATTAAATCAATTTTGTGGCAAAATTTCAGTTATAAAGTTCACAGATTCTTTTTGTTAACCTGTCATTTCAAATCTCAGTGAATCATCCCACACTATAGCTGCAATGTGACAATAGTGGAAAAGTTCAAGGCATGCTGAGTGAAAATCTGCCTACGTTTCCAAGTGATATTTTGCTTCTTCCAGCTGATCAAGCATCATGGCAATTATTTCCTGCAAAAGAGGTACCAGTCTCTCAGTCAAGGATAAGCTGCCAGTTGAGGGTATATGGATGAAAGCTGCTCTCCTCTCACCATGATACAGTGAGCAGTAATAAGCAAAATCACACAAGTATCTGAAAAGAAGAAAGCATGGCCTTTTATTTGCGTCTGTTAATGCAGATCAGAAAAAGGGTTGGCTGCCTACCTGCCAGCATCTCTAGAATGAACCACATCCATCCCTGCTTGCTTAAAGTGCTTGGAAATGGCCCTCATGTTAACAACAGAGTCCAGTTTCTCGGGGCCGCCTTCAATGCAGCGGTGATCTGTGGGGCAGCAGCTGCAACAGTCTTGGGTGCTGTAGCCGCTGTTTTTACCAGTTTGCTCCAAAATGACAAGACTGGAACCTCTGGCTATGCCCAGGTGAACAGCAAACTGGGAACAAGCATGCAAACGCGATTCACCTCCTTGTGTTTCAAAAATGTGCATTCTCTATAGATACTCTAGCAAAAATTACACACAGTGTTATGTCTTATTTCATAGGTATATTGTGGTTACCCTAAGGAGCAAAAAAAACAAAAAAAAAAAAAAAACAAGGCAAATAACGCCAACAACTATCAATATAATATCCTCTTATATTGAAAAAAAAAAAATTAGTACAGACCTGCAAAGCATTCTGAATGCTTTGCATGATGATTTTCTATTAGGTTTTTTAGGTGTGTAAAATGTCTACCTTTGGTTTAAGGGTCTGCCAAAGCTCAGCAATGATCCTCTGGGTTGAACTGTAGCTCACTGGCAGTTCCTTGATGTAAACATCGATGCGCTGTCCCATTCCGGCCAACTTTAATCCCTGCGGTAAACGAAACGCACAGCTAAAATGAACCAGAGGTAAACAGGAGTGTATTTTGCAGACATTAGCCCGTACCTGGGCTGTTATCCAGCTGGGGTTCACCAAGAACTGTCTGAACGGTCCAAACCCTTCAAAGTGTATTCAACACGTGTTTTTAAAAGCATGAAGAGTGGACATATCATTGAGAAAATTCTTGTTTTACCTGTTACAACAACAATTTCTCTTTCGCTCATAGCGTGTCCAAGCTAATAGAGGGTAGTAAACAGAGTGAACAAGGGGGAAACGTTTATGTTCCTCGTAAGTTACGATGCGTCCGCCAGGAGGAGCCATTCCATTTAATAACTGAAGTAGTGGTGTAGTGGTGCGTTCATGTACTTCAGGTAAACTAATGACAAAAGGAGCCTGGGTAATATACAAGTAGGCTATACCGAAATGCAAAGTTGTAGATCGTTACTCAGATATTTAGTAATAGGCCTATACTTACTTTCTTTTTTTAAATATAGGCCTACGTATCTTTATATGTAGGCTACATATATAGGCTATAATAGAATTGCCAACAAAAGGTTTATAATTTATTGAAACATCTAATATTTGATGTAAACCAATGTTTAATGCTATTGATTAAGCATTGAAAGAAAAAAATGCTATATTGCAAATGAATAATGAATGATAGTAGGCTACTGCAATCATAAGAAATAGGAGAAGGCACGTTTTCTTAAAAATATACCTAAAGATCTCTATGAAACATTTTCTGCAACACGGTAATTAAAACGCTTCAACTGTTTGTACATATTTGTGACTGCACATGAATGCAGCGTCACATCTGCCATGGCCACAGACCGAGGCGTTCCATAGAGCCTGGGACGCTCCTGTGACTGTGATGCGTTCAGGACCCGCCCTCCTCCTCCTGCACTTGTCAAAGGGCACCGATCGCAAATTACATCACACTTCAGCCCACCGACGCACACGCAAATAGCCCAACTGCACGCAGCATTTTTTAAACCAAATTTTAATTATAACAGATCAGGATGCTTCCTTTCAAGAGAACTTTTGACAGCGAAAAACAGCAACTGCAAGAGCTGAACAGCAGACTTGCTCAGTATCTGTCCAGGACCAAGCAGCTGGAGCAGGAAAACGCGCATCTTATAGCTGAAATTAACAAACTGAAGCGCGGCAGCGGGACGGCGGAATGGGAGCAGCGGTACAAAGCAGATATGAAGGATCTGAGGAGAATGGTGGAGCAGATCTCCTTCGAGAAGTCCCAGGCGGAGATGGAGAGGGAGAAGCTATGGCGAGAGTTGCAGACGGCCCGGTCTCTGTGCAGCGAGCAGACCGAGGCGTGCAGGGACATCAGCGGCGAGCTGAAGGGCTGCGAGAAGGAGCTGCAGCAGGCGCACAAAATTAACAGTGACCTGCAGCAGCGGCTCCTTCAACTGGAGAGCGAGTACAAGCGCTTAGAAGACGCGCACAGGCATGAGACGGCCAAGCTCCGGCATCAGGTGGAGTCTCGGGTCGTGCCCATCATCACGCAAACTTATCACGGGCCCCCGGTGGTTTCCGTTGAGGAGGTGCAGGAGTACGCCCGCGGGCTGTCCGAGGGATGGATAGAGACGTTTGAAATGTACCAACAGAAAGTGGAGGAGATGGAGCAGTCGATCAAAGCGGACCAGGCGAGGCTGTGCGACCTAGAGAAGGAGAAGATGCTGTACGCATCCGAGCTGGGCAAATTGCGCACGGAGGCGGAAAAACAGGGCCAGATTCAAATGCGCCTGGAAGAGGAGCTCATGCACATGCAGGACAAATTCCGAGTGGATTTAAGTGAACACCAGGTGAGTTGGTCTGTTACAAAACTGCAAAAAACATTTATCAACAAGATTAAAAATGCGTTATTTGTTCAATTCCCCTCCATCCCCCCAGAAAAAAAACTAACAAAAACCAAACAAACAAATAAACAAAAAATAAAAAGCAATATACAATTTCAAAGAATTCAAACTGAAGAATCTGCTGCTTATTCCAACAAGCCAGGGGAGAGGGGTGAGGCCGCATGGTCCCTCAGCCACACCCACAGTCCATTATGGCTCTGATGCAGCTGCAGCTTTCAGTGCCTGCAACAAATAAATCATGCATATGTGAGACATGAATAAGCCTGAAGAACTCCAAAATAGTTGTCTCATACATAAGAAATGCAAAACCAAAGTCCATGTTTCAGACTAAATATCAGATTTAATTAATTTAAGTTTGAGGTAAAATATGTACAAAAAATATGGATCCTGCATGTAACATTTGACCTTGGTAAAAGGCTTAAAACGCTAGGACACAATCTTCCTCCAAAGCACTTTACAGTTGCTAAATGACTTCAGCCACTTAAACCAATTAGCTGTCAGACTGACAAATCCTTACTAGACTCCCAAAGGTCTTGGGGGCTTAAACAAGATGGCCGTACTGTGCATTTCAGTGCAACAAAAATAAGTGTAAAAAAAATAAACCCAGTTTTTAGACGATAATTACCTTGTGATTAACTCACTGTGTTCTTATTTGTTTTTGCATGAACTGGACTGCAACATAAATAGCCATAAAAAGATTTTAATAATATCATAATTAACTAAAATGATGGAAACATATTTTTTTCTTTCTCTTTCAGATACTTATTGAGCAGTTGGAACAGGAGAGAAACATTCTGGCTGAGGCAATGGAAGAGAAAATGAGGGAACATCAGCACCTTCTCCAAGTGAAAATGGATCTGGGCATGGAGGTGGCAGCATACAGGTGATGAATCACTTTGCTTTAAAGTCTGTTTTCAAATTCTAAACAAATAATGACTTTGTTTAAATATTCGCACTGAGTAGAAGATTCTTATTTATTTCAACACTTTTATTTTTCACTGATGAAAAAAGACTAGCTTACAGGCCCCATATTTTTTCTGTATTTAATGCAAAGTAGATTATAGTAAAAAAAAGGGTAAAGTAATGTAATCTTCATTGAAAATGACAATTTAAAAGTAAAACTGTTGTTCAAGAAATTACTCCTTCAAGTAAATTTTTTTTCAGAGTCAAATATAATTTGGAGTAAAAATACATGTGAATATAAACCCAGTTCAAATATAAAGGTTTCCCTTTGGAGAGTAAATTTTAGGTGTATCAAGAATTTTGAAAAAACAGAAAAAAAGTTTTTTTTACTTTAAGTGTCATGCTCTTTGGACCAGAGATCTGGCCACCCTGCATAAACAAATGACTCACAGGGGACTTCCTGCTGGAAAGACGGTTGCCATCCATGCTTTGTAGCAAGAAGCCCGGTACAGACTTCACATTTTCTGTCTATTTTATTTTTATTTTTTTTCAGTTACTGGGCCAGTATACGAGTATGCACGGTTATAATTTTTTTATTCACCTAATAACCTGAGACTGTATTTCTGGATCTCTAGACATTCCAAAAAATAACCTTCTTTGTGCTTCTTTGACTTATGGGTCAAAAACATTCTAGCGGCACTGGTTCATACCGACAATTTAATTTTCAAATTAACATTCAATTTGTCAGTCATTTTGTGCATCTCCTCTGAGATGGACAGGTGACCTGTCCAGGGTGTTCCTGGCCTGGACAGGAACACATTCCAAAGGTGCTGTACTGAACGGAGATCTGCTGACTGTGGAGACCACTGGAGTAAAGTCAATTCATTGTCATGTTCTAAAAACCAGAGCTAAACTTTGTGAGATAAAGCAACAGTATATAGGTATGCCATGGTGTTAAAACAATTGTCAAATGGAAATAAGGGGCTTCAATTGTGCCAAGTGAACATCTCACCGTCACGCCACCAGCAGCGCAAACCATTAATGCATGGCAGAACAAAATGTGTTCATATTGTTTACACCAATGTCGAACCCAAGCAATTTAATGTCTCAGTTGAAAGTCACTCATTTTTTTTCAATCTGGTATTCTTTTGGTGAATATTTGTATTTTCATCATATAAAAGCCAAAATCCTCTAAGCTATTACCTTGTGATTTAATCACTAGACATTTGTGTTAACAAGCAGCTGAACAGGTACCCCTAACACAGGGGTGAAAAGTGTATTTCTGTAGATATTCAGCTGTTCTTGTTCAAATGTTTAGTACATTTTCCTGTAATATAATTACCTAATTTGTATCGATACATTACAAATAATGCCTTCACAAGATTAATGATCACACTCCCTCCACTCAGTCATTATGACTTTATATGGATCTCTGCTTGGAAATCTAGTCTGTATAAAACATTTGGAAAACAGAACACTCCCTTGGAGATGTGGCAACAGCACCATGTGTTTCTGTAAGTGTCACGAGTCAGCTTTTGCTGTGGGATTTATAGCATAGAGCATGGACAGCCAAACATTGTAGTTGTTATTTTTAGGTCAGTCTATTGAAAGGCAAGCTCCAGAGAGGTCGTTCTTTTCAGAGACACTTTGGTTGGCTAACTCCTGAAGAGTGGCCAAGGAAAGGTAAGTCGTTTCAGCTAAATACAATATGTCTTATTTTTTTACATTTTAAATAACATTGGCTTAGCATCATAACTTTATTATTATTATTACCCTATATGGTCAGGTTCAGGATACATACCATTCTGTAAGTCTTGAATTCAGTTTGAGGGGGATGAAATGGCAGATCTAAATGATGTGCATCACTTTGTGAGGTATTCGTCCTGAAGTCATAACCTTGCAGAACACCTTGACATCTCTCATTGATATCATTTGCACTCATGTAAGATATTTATTCTTGTCTGTCTTCAGGGCTCTCCTGGAAAGTGAAAGAGTTGGTATGCAAGATGCTCACAGGAGGATGACCCAACATCAAAGAGAGAGAATAATAGGTATAGTACCATTAAAGTATTTGCAGTAAAAATGCTATTTTTTATCAATGTTATACTGTGATAAATGAGATTGCTTGCAACACACTTAATACAGAAATTTTTTACAATTATTTCTTTTCTGGCTTAGACATCAAGGTGCCTGCCCAACATTACTCTCCAAGAACCTCAACCTTAACCTCAAGAAGACATGTCGATATGCGGTATGCATCACCAACAAACCTGAGAAGACCACCTGTGACCTATTCTGGGTCTATAAGTCCCTCCAGGGTCATTCCCATTTCAGCTGCAGGAAGGGCTCGGCATCAGAGTCCAGCATCCAGAAGGGATATGATCTCGTTCAACAAAGCTCGTGCTGCCTCTTCCGTGCCTACTACCAGTACCGAAATTGGCCAGGATAAAAACAAAATAAGTAAGCCTGCACAGAAAACGGTAGCGGAGGAGAAAAGCATGAGATTCAAACAGGTCCCTTCTGAAAGCAAAGCCAGTTTTTCACCAGAGACAAAATCTGTAAGAGTGGTGTCACCACCAGAAAAAAGTATTGCTCAAACTGTCACAGAAAGCAAAAGGCAGGTGTCCAATGAGAAAGAGAAAGGTTATGCTCAAGATGAGTTCAAAGACAAAGAGAAGGCAGAACCCATAACTGAAAAAAAGATACTGGACTCTTTATCTGTAGAAGAGATTATTGAGAAAGTGATCAAACCTGCAGGTTTAGAAGCCAAGGCATGTTCATCAGGAGACTCTAAGGTCAGGTATCATGTGGAGAAAAGTGAGCAGGAAGACGGCACCACTAAGACACAGATTGTGCTGGAGTCCAAATTTGAAGAAGAGATAGATCTTTCCGAGGACTCCACCCTGGATGAAATCCTGAGCCAGGGTGTGAAGAAGGTATCACTGGAGGACATAGAAGATACAGCAACAGGAAACATGATTCAGAACCTTCTAAGTAGTCTTCAAGGAGGAGGAAACATGGAAAATAAGTCAGTCAATGTGGAAATTATTGAAGAACCCATTGAGTCTTTCAGTGATGAGGAGCTTGAAGCTGAAATTAAAAGAAAATCAAGTTCTTATGAGCCCTCAAGATATTTCCAAATTGAGGAGATGGAAAACATAAGTCATGACTCTGAAGAAGAAAAGCGTGATAATGCCACAATAGCTTTCAAAACAGGCACCGACCAGCCCAGTGGGGGATCTGTGCATGTTCAGGAATTCTCTACAGAAAACAAATCTCCTAATTTCTCCCATGAGGAGGAGTTTCATGAGTACTTTGTGTCCACACCAAATGAAAACCTTTCTGAAACTGAAGATGGTGGAGGAATAATGTCATATGGCCATTATGGCATAGTAGATGATCTGTCTGATGAGAGGTATTACCAAGACGAAAGTCTGCCCCAGAGAAAAGTGATAGTAGAGGAAAGTGAGGAATACCAGTACAAGTCAGGTAATCACTCATTCCCCAAGGAAAGTTTTCCAGAGTGCATAATTGAAGAAGAAGTTCGGGTATCGCCTGTAGTGCAAGAATCCATACTTGAGTTCCTGAGAGAGGATTCTTTGGAACCTAAAGAGCAGCTGAAGGGAGCCTTGGAGACACTACACAGTTCAGTGTCTGGTCCCCTGAGGGAAGAGTTGGCTTTTCTCACAAAAGTGAGCAGCGAAAGTCCACAAAACGTAGCAATCAAAAAAGTCGAGCAGTCAAGCGATAATGGAACCATGACTATAGTTGCAGAGCTAAATGTCTCACAAACCCTTGAAGACTCTGGGCTGTTGGAGGAAGGAGATGATATTTCCGAAGAGCAGATAATGAAAGCTCTCAGATCTTCCAACTTGGATCTTGAAAAAGCCTTCCAAGAAGGAGCAGGTTCAGGGTACAGCATCAGAGTGTCCAAAGAAGAGGGGGTTGCATATGCAGAGGGCTTTGAAGGCTTTGGCAGCATTGACGAGTCAGCATCTAAAATAATTGAGAAACACATTAAACTGGAACCATCAGAAAAGTCCTTCACCTTCCAGCTGGAGGAGCAGGGTGACCATGGTGAGAAGAGCTCAGTGCAGTCCCAACTCTTTGAAAACCCAGAGAAGATTTCTACTGAAAAAAGAGTTGCAACACTTTACCTTGAAAGGCCCTTAGAAGACTGATCAGGCTTTTTTTTTTTTTTTAGAAAATGTACAAATTTATACATAAGTTGTTATACAACATCGCAGTGGCACTGTTAACAGATGTTTTAACAATGACATACAAATGTGGACAAGGTGACATTAGGACTACAAACCTCAGTCAACCCATAATAACAAATGTGGATTTTGGTTACATTCTTTGTATTAACTTCATTTTTACTTTCATATAGCTTGGATTATACACTTTATTTTTTTTGGTATTAAACTTCTTTGTGGTGCTTTAAAAAGCCTATTTCACAGTTTACAGCAGACCACTAACTCAGTCATCATGTGCCATGTTGTTGAATCTTTTGGATCAGCACTTATTACAGATCAACATGGCACTGGGAGTTATGGGTGCTGTGCACCATTTGCAGATTGGAACTACTTGTGGCTTGAGCACCTTACCATGATGATGGGGTCAAGTTAATCAATAACTTTAAAGAAATGTATCTACATATAAATGAAGGCAATAATTAGAAGAAGCGGGACACATTCAAAAATTCAAATGATTCACCATTGGTGATAATATGGTTGCGAGACATATTGTGTATGTTTGTGCACATATGTCAGGTATCACAGTGTTGGCATGAGGGATTCAGTTTTGCTCTGACCTGAGAGTGTTCAGGACTATTTTTGGATCATCAGCTTAGTGGCATTGAATGTTCACAAGGGGTTGTTGTCTTGTGTGCTGTTTGCCAAGGCAGAATTAGAGTTCAATGCATTCAGTCTGTTTATTTGTTTCAGACATTTTCAGCATGTTTGATTACCACACTTTACACAGCAATTCACTCACAAAATAGCAATTTGTCATTATGTTATGTAGCACAGATATGAGATATTTAGCATGAACACACTTATCTGTTAGAAGAAGAGAGATTTGTTGCATTTAAGTGCCGAGATACATCCGGGTTTCACATATTTTCTGATCGTTTCTCTATTAACATTTATACATTTGGATTACATCTTCATGCAAACTGGTATCTGGATACCATGTGCCAACACATTTTATTCAATAAGATCAATTTATAGAAAATCTATTGATTTATAAAGAGGATATGAGTCAATGTTTAATAAATGTGGAACAAACAAAATTATTTGCATTTGATTTTATTGATTTCTGATAAACAAATGATACAACTGCTTTGGCTGATGGGGCTTTCTGAATTTCATTGATGAATATCTTAACAATATTAAAATATATATTGTTGGAATGTTTCGTGTGTATTATTGTTCAGTAGATTCACATAATAGGCCAGACAAACTAATTGCTTACATAACACTAGCAAATGAAATTTGAATTAACAAAATACAAACAATTATATTAACTACTGCCTCAACCTTTAGCGGTACCACAATAACCTTGTGCAAAGGTGAAGTGGGGAAGAATGAGACTTCAAGCATCACATGTAGAGTCATCAATTTTACCACTGGGTGGTATAACTGGAAATATGTCTAATTTTGTCTGTCTTCTTCTTTGCTGTTGTCTCTTAACAACTTCAGGTGCCCTGAAAAGCAAACATGACATAGTTGATGTACTAACATAAAATTATTAACATTAAAGCGTATATAACGCCATTCTTTAGAGTCAGAATACCTTAAAGGGAACAAATCAAACTAAATCCACTTCTGTCTTAAAATTTAACACAGTGTAGCAGTAAATTAATCTTCGTCTCCAGGAGTTACCTTGCCAACATGTCCACAGCTTTTTGTACTGCTTTGGATTTCTTGTGCTGAGGACCATACAGCAAGTTGTGAACATCCAAGCACTAAAATTGAAACATAAAACAATGAAAGTGATATAGGTAGTTAAAAAATAAAAGTGCAACTCAATCTGGATGGAAATAAACTGACATCCTAGCAACATACTGGAAGCACTAAACATACCGAAATAACCCCTGTAGCTGTCCAAAGTTTACATAACACCTGTGCTGACCACTCAGAGATTCAAATGAAACAAGATGGATCTGTCATCTTGTTACTGATAGCGCTTCAGTAATCTCAAGGGTAGAGAGAGTGAACGGTGAGACAGCCACATTTTTCTACAGTATGTAATCTGGCAGAACAAACGAAGAGAAAACAGAGGTATTGTCCAGATCTGTAAAGTAATCTTTTAGCAAACTGAAAGTAGAGAAAAGTTAAAACATCTGAATATGATAACATAAACTGACATATGATGAAAAAACTTGACTCTCTTTTCTGCAGTCATTATAAATAAGAAGCAAATGTTTCAAACCAGGAAAGAGGGAGGGAAAAGCTCCCCTCTGTACTGGGGAAAGCAAAACAGTGTTAATCTGGAAGAGATCCATTTGGCCTTTTGAATGTTTTTACGGTTGCTAAGGTTGATGTAATGGAAGGCTGTTTTTTTCAGCAATGCTGCAGAGGAGGAAGGAGGTGGAGTCAACTTTGTGTCTGTATGAACTATTGTTCTTTGTTTTTAGACGTTCCCTTGCATTCTATCCACTGTATAGGCCAGAGGTCCTTTGCAAAAGCAAGTTACTCAATCAGACTGGAAGCAGTTTCATGATGACAGCATTGGAAAATAATTCCTGCTGACATATCCGCTGTGGGTTAGAGTGTTTCAGAAAGGTTACAACTTCGACGTGGGGGGAGATAGAGTGAGCCTTGATCTACCCTGTCATTCTTGGACCCCCTCTTTGCTCAGATAACAACAACAAAACAACATAGCAACCGGGGTGCTTCACCGAGAGGCACGTTCTTACAAGAATCATATAAGGTCCTTTAGAGAGCTTAACCATGATGGGACAAGTGAGCTCATACAGCAAATCTGCAGCCATGCCGTATGTAAAAATGACACCACTCATTACATAATATGAAGTAAATGAAACTATCGTACATAAAAATAAAGATCGATTAAATTAATAAAATATGTAGGTATTTATGGAAATATGCACAATAACTCCAGGTTTGTTTCAGGGGACTTAACAAATTGGGGTCAATCTGCAACAGATAGCGAACTGCCATTGAACTTCTGTTGCCCATCTGTCAGTATCTATCTAGACTGAGAAAAAACAAAGTCACTCTGTGTGATATTTTACACCAAGGAAGTTGGCTCTGCACACTGCCCTCTTCCAAGATTAGCTTATAACTCTGATAACATTCAGCTCTTCAGAGACAGTGGAAATAGCTCGTCTCAAAATGACAGGGACTGTTTGTGTGTATTCTGGACTGGCTTGTCATCATCTTACTGGTTTAAATGTGTTTAAACATGCAGACTCTTGACCTTTAATCAAACGACGTTTATACGAACGTCATATTTGATGACAGTAATTATAACATTCTCGTACATACCTTCTATGTCACCTTCTCCTATCTTGACAATTCTACAGAAATTGTATGCAATGTATCACATGATTACCTTTGTCATGGTCCTGTGGGCTTGGTTCACCTGGCCCTCAGTGGCAGAGCCTCCAATCAGCTGAAGAGTCTCTGCCACCTCAGAGCTCAGGTCACCAAATGTAGATATTTTAGACTCAAGGGAGGCTCTCTGGATCTCCACACATTTCTGTTGATATTGTACAAGTTAAAAATAAGCATAAAATACAACATTTTTCAAATTGTGATTCAATTTATTAAGAAAAACTGAGGGAAAATCTTTCAAAACCATCTCCTCTTGTAGAATTATGGAGTTACTGTGATTAAGAAGTTTGTGATTCAGTTTCACCACCAGCACATATGCCTATTTCCTATAAGAAAACTCAAGAAATCACTTAAATAAAACTTGTTTGCTAACAGGAAGAAGTCCAAAAGATCTTAAAAAGTAACACTTCATGCCTCAAATTAAAGAACTCTTAAGAATAGATGAAAACCAAAGTTATAGACATCCATTCATCTGAAAATGGATAGACAGCCCTTTGTAAGACTTTGGAACTTCAAGAAACTACAATGAGAATCAAAGAGAGGAAACACATGGAAAAGTGAGGACCCTGTGGCCTGCCACTTATTTACTCTAAGAGCCCATCAACTATTCACCCCAGAGGCTGCCAAAGGGTATATAGAGCATTTGAGTTGGTTTGCATCAAAATGTTGTAGTCAATTGAATACAACATTTTGTATTTATTCAAATGATCTATTTGATAATGAAATGTGTTAAATGTCCAACAACATATCAGTGTGACAAAAAAGTAGAAAAACAGGTAAAATTTGTGAGGGGCAAATACTTTTCAGAGCAATGTATGTATCAAAATTGCATGTGGAGGATTATTCTGTATGTTTTACACAGGAGTTATAGTGTTATGAAGACCGTTTCTAACCTTCTCTTGTCCATTAATCAAGAGGTATCGACAGAAGTCATCCTGGGCAGCAAGAAAAGCTGGATCAAGTGGACCTACAGAGTTTTTGTAAGCACGAAGACTTTGCTCAAAATAGTGACCCGCAGTTTCTACAGGAACATGAAGTAAACAAGACATTCAAGTCAACAGTTTGAAGAATCTCTGATTTGCAGTTTGCATCCTAGCATAAGCATCCAATATCAATATATTAATTGATATTGATGTTGATTTTTCAACAACAAAAATAATTTCAGACATTAGACTTTACATTGCATTTGCCTATAAGTCAGAACCAAACCATGTCTCTCACAGCTGGGGTCTCTCAACACAAACAATGGACGAATTTTAAAGGAGTGCCAACTAAAATAAAACTGACAGATCAAAATATTTCTCATAACATCAGATTAAGACAGAAGGTAATGCAGATAACCTCAGCAACTGCCTACTTAGAAGAAATTCTGATAGGCTACTTATCAAAAAACAAAACAGGTTACAGGAAAAAGTTCTTAAAGAAAATCCTGAATTAAGCTACTTAAAGCATTCTTCTCTATAGCAGAGAAGTATCCCTCGAAATATTTTTTTTCAAAATGTTTTTATAATGATTTTATTTTTCTGGGTCACTTAGAACCTTCTATACATACATTCTAGGTCCATATGGCTTATGTTCATTTCAAACTGATTCTTAATTTTAAAAAAATGATCTTAAAGAACTTGGCATATTGGGGAATCAATTATATTCAAATTCGAATTGGCCTCGTTGAGTCCTTCCCTTCTGACAGACCTAGCCAGTTTCTATCAACACACTCACCATTGTGATGTTGGTCTGGTGCAGCAGAAAGGATCATGGCCAGGCTGTGGGAGATCTGAGCTCCCTCCAGACCCTCTGGACTGTGACTCATAGCTATGGTATGTGCCTAGCAGAAGCAACCAAGTGAAACAAGGCAGATCACTAACCACCAAATAAGAAGGGTGATTACATAACAAAGGTTGACAAAGTTCTAAAAGGGATCAAAGGAAGTTTACTGACCTTGGAGAGATAATCTATAGCTTTGTCCAAGTGATCTCTATCCTGTTCAATGGTAGCCATGTCTTTATAAACAGCACACATCCTCTCATGCTTATTGCAATTCTTCAGTAGGTCCAAAGACTTCTCACACTGGCTTAATGCCTCCTCTGGTTGAGTTTGCCTGGCATAAACTCTGAAACACAAACACACTTGCGATGTAACCATAATGATGGAGTGGAAATTCTGCAATGCTGTGGAAAAGATTTCCTCTCTTTTTGCTTTTTTCTCATACAAAGTTTTAAAATTATAATTTATAAAGGGCAAAGTTTTCCACACCAACCTTGCAGAATATTTCTAAAAACAAAAAAATAAACCTTCACCTACTGGTTGTGCCACCTGTGCTAGCAGCAGCTACTACCAAGCATTAGTAACTAACTATTGGTAATGAGTCTTTCACATGGCTGTGAGGGAATTCTGGAAAACTCTTGTTTACAGATTTGTTTCAGTTTATCTAGACAGGAGGGATTTTGAACATGGATAAACTATTTAAGTTTGTCCCTGTTAGAGTTACAGTTAAGCTCAAACTTTGATGAAACCACAAGAGGACTTGTACTTCAAATCATTGCCCCATGTGCACCAAACATGCACTAAACCTTTACATCACAAACCGAGGGATATTCTTCTTCAGGTTCCATGTTTTCTCTATATGGATAAAAGTTCCTTTGAGGTCCAGAGGTTTTGGAAGTAGATTTGTAACCTTTTCCAGATTGATGGGTATCAATGACTTTGTGTATCTTCTGTACCCTAATTTCTTTAGAATATGCTCATACAGATTCCTTTCAGATGGCAGTGTGCTCTGAAACATTTTAGAATGATAAATGAATAATTGAAGAAATTTGAAGGGAGGTAACTGCAT